GTCAAAACCAACCACCTGACAGTTTATATTAATGTAATGTTAACCCATAAAGCTAAGTGGTTTCTTAAGTGTGATAATTAATCTGCTGTGTCATGTTTATGACATATGACAGGTTGTGTTGTCTTAGTAATGTCAAGTTGTCATGACAAAGACTCTGACAGGTTATGATATATTGGTTTATGTCAAGTTGTCATAACAAAGACATCTCAAACAATGTCATATTTGCATTAAAAATGTCATAATTGAGCGAATGACACGTAATGACAGTTGTCATAAACATGCATAAAACCTCCTTGTGTGTCATGTCAGTCTTATGCACACCCATTCAAGTAAAGTGTTACCCCGCATTGTCCTGCAAAAATCACATCTACGTCCTACAACAGAGAAATAACCAGGCGGTCACCCTATACTTTTGCGTGTAAGGACAAATAGTTTTCATACCAATTGCAGATGGCACCAGAGTTCAAGCAAAGTCGGTTAATGCACACCAGAGTTTGGAAATCCACTTTCATACCAACCCAAAAAAGAGCGTGTCCTTAAACACGGACCGAAAAAAACTGACATTATTTTTTTTTTCCCTGTTCCTACATATGAATCTGCTAGTCAGCCCCTCACTGCACAGCCTCCATGTCATCATACTTGTCAAAAGAAAGAGAGATGGCATATACCTGGACACAGATTGCATAAGGAAGACGGGAGTGAGTGAAAAACATGCAGACACATGAGCTATTCCTCTAATGAGATTGTTTTTCTCTTAGTTGGGCGGGTTTCTCTCTCTCTCTCTCTCTGGTCAGTGACATCTCCAGCTACCATTACGAGTGTCCACTGAGACACGGGAGAGAGACGAATCTAATTAAAGTCCTGCATTATATTACTCAGGGATGGAGCCTGATAAATATCCATCACATCACAATAGATGCCCTGAGGTGCTTTCCCAAAAGCATCGTTAGCCAAGTCCTGTTGAACTGTGTTGGTAACGGCGAAACTTGCGACCGTAGTTGACTTCCAGAAACACATCCCTGATCGATCTAACAGATCAGCGCTCCTCAACCCTGTCCCTGGAATTTGTGATCAACAATGAACTAGTAATTACATAACTAGCAATCATTAATAATCACGGTGAAGTCTCAAGTGATGCTATTATTTTTTAAAGTTGCGCAATTAGAGCCATGACATATTCAAAAGAAAACACTTGCATTGCATTCATTCTCTGTTTGCAATTGTATTAAAGTTGTGATTTAGTATATTTGATCAATTCTGAGCTTAAAACATTTGCACTGTACACCATAAATATGTTGCATGCAACTTTGCATTTCCAGTGTGATGTTATTAGTGTTTGTAGGGATTTGTGTGAAAAGTGTGGCTCTAGCACATACAATTTTTTTACATTTGTAAATGTTTTTATTCATGTACAATATTTCACATACCATTTTTTATTAAAGTTTTGCCGAGATTCATAGAGAAGTAAGATTAATGCCATGCATGCAATTTAACACAGCTAACATATTATTTTGTTTTTTAAAAGTTATGCCAAAACATCTGCGAGCCAGGCTCATTAGAAAAACATGCATGTGGCAACATTTCCAGTAGCACCTCATTGCAGTACACGAGATCCAGGGGGCGGAGTTGGATCCAGATCTAAGGGGTGGAGATGGGTAGGATTAGGGGTGGGGTTAGGGATCAAGGGGCGGAGATGGGTAGGATTAGGGTGGGGTTAGGGATCAGGGGGTGGAGATGGGTAGGATTAGGGGTGGGGTTAGGGATAAGGGGGTGGAGATGGGTAGGATTATGGGTGGGGTTAGGGATCAGGGGGAGAAGATGGGTAGGATTAGGGGTGGGGTTAGGGATAAGGGGGTGGAGATGGGTAGGATTAGGGGTGGGGTTAGGGATCAGGGGGCGGAGATGGGTAGGATTAGGGGTGGGGTTAGGGATCAGGGGGTGGAGATGGGTAGGATTAGGGGTGGGGTTAGGGATAAGGGGGTGGAGATGGGTAGGATTAGGGGTGGGGTTAGGGATCAGGGGGTGGAGATGGGTAGGATTAGGGGTGGGGTTAGGGATCAGGGGGAGAAGATGGGTAGGATTAGGGGTGGGGTTAGGGATCAGGGGGCGGAGATGGGTAGGGTTAGGGTTAGGGATCAGGGGGTGGAGATGGGTAGGATTAGGGATGGGGTTAGGGATCAGGGGGAGAAGATGGGTAGGATTAGGGATGGGGTTAGGGATCGGGGGGTGGAGATGGGTAGGATTAGTGGTGGGTTTAGGGATCAGGGGGAGAAGATGGGTAGGATTAGGGATGGGGTTAGGGATCAGGGGGCGGAGATGGGTAGGATTAGGGGTGGGGTTAGGGATCAGGGGGTGGAGATGGGTAGCATTAGGGGTTGGGTTAGGGATCAGGGGGTGGAGATGGGTAGGATTAGGGGTGGGGTTAGGGATCAGGGGGTGGAGGGTTAGGGATCAGGGGGCGGAGATGGGTAGGATTAGGGGTGGGGTTAGGGATCAGGGGGTGGAGATGGGTAGGATTAGGGGTAAGGTTAGGGATCAGGGGGCGGAGATGGGTAGGGTTAGGGTTAGGGATCAGGGGGTGGAGATGGGTAGGATTAGGGATGGGGTTAGGGATCAGGGGGAGAAGATGGGTAGGATTAGGGATGGGGTTAGGGATCGGGGGGTGGAGATGGGTAGGATTAGTGGTGGGTTTAGGGATCAGGGGGAGAAGATGGGTAGGATTAGGGATGGGGTTAGGGATCAGGGGGCGGAGATGGGTAGGATTAGGGGTGGGGTTAGGGATCAGGGGGTGGAGATGGGTAGCATTAGGGGTTGGGTTAGGGATCAGGGGGTGGAGATGGGTAGGATTAGGGGTGGGGTTAGGGATCAGGGGGTGGAGGGTTAGGGATCAGGGGGCGGAGATGGGTAGGATTAGGGGTGGGGTTAGGGATCAGGGGGTGGAGATGGGTAGGATTAGGGGTAAGGTTAGGGATCAGGGGGCGGAGATGGGTAGGATTAGGGGTGGGGTTAGGGATCAGGGGGTGGAGGGTTAGGGTTAGGGATCAGGGGGTGGAGATGGGTAGGTTTAGGTATATGTAAGGTGGGAGGAGTTGGATCTGGATCCAACTCCTCCCCCTGGATTTCGTGTTCTGCAGTGAGGACCATCTCAACATTTCTGCAAACTATATTAGGCCTCTTTTAGCCTGACTTCGTCATACTCATATTCTAGTCAGAATGTGAGTCTGATACTGCTTCATAGGGCTTTGATTATGAGGCGTGTCTTAACCGAACCAGGAAAAAAAAAAACTCTGCACTCAATTGGATAGACCTACAACCAATGAGAGCAACGCAGTAAGTCAACTACTTTGCATAGCACAGTTGTCAACTACAGAACTCAAATGCACGCACGCTGGAAGAAGTAAAATAACTAGTGTTGCTTCTTTTACTTGGCCCTCTATGAGTGCGACCAAAGGAGAAACCACAACGACCACAGGGTTTTCATTGCGTCCCATCTTCTTAGTTACCATCGGAGCCAGCTGATAAATTAAACTTTTGCCGAATCCCATAGGAAGGACGGCAAACACATCTTTCCGATCGACAAATGCCTTGATTGCAGTTCTATGTTCGTCTTTTAAAATGAATGCGCTGTCGATTTCTTTTACAACAGACGCGATAGCGGGATCTCTACATCTCAGTTCTCCAGCGGCAGTCATCTGTGAGGGAAACCAGTTCAACCCAAGCGCTCTTTGATAACGTGAGGATTACGTCCCTGCAGATCATCTGTCCATCATCGTATAAAGCCCGCCCTGGCAATTTGATTGGCCCGACGATTTCTGAACCGATCATAATTACTCCTCAATGGAGCGAGTCCAGACCGAACTTTCTGATCAAAAAATGTTGTGGGCGGAGTTCGGGCTGGCATCCAGGCTAGGCCTCTTTTGCTTCTTGCAGGTTTCATGACACTGTGAAAGTAAAATTTGTTTGGACAAAAAGTGCTTTCAGTTTCATCAAAAACAGATGAATGTGAATCTGGCAACGTTTTGTATGTTAGTTATAGTACCAATCTCTGCAGTTCAGAATTGAAATGTCCGGTGAATGGCGCTAAAAGGTTAATGCTTTGTCACATTTTTTAAAAACTCCTACACTAAACTCTACACTAAATCAAACCAATAGTGTCAACAAAAGCTGCGATAAAAACACATTTGCTGAAAGCAACCATGACAAGCAAGTCCTTGAGCTCTTTTATCGTGACTCGTGTTTCACAGTTTCACAATGCTCTGAGCAAACACCAGGTGAGCAAGTTTATCAGAAAAGTCATGCAAATGGAACAGATTGTGTGATACAAACATTAAAATGCATGAGTTTATAAATCATGTGCTATGCTAAAAGTATTTTCAGGTCATAGCATAGTATCTACCCTTGTAATCATAATTTGTGTATCTAAAAAAAATAAGTTACTGCCACTAGTGTTAATTTCAGGTAGAAACTGAATGTATGAATAGGTGTGTTTGGCAGTTTTGCAGAAGTCTAGTGCATTTCCAATGAGCCTGGGTTGCGAAAATCATATTAGGGGACAAAAAAAAGTTTGTTTATCACCTATAAACATGTCAACAAAAAAATATAAATTAGCTGTATATTTTGAACACCACCCTTATGAAAAGAAAATATATTTCCCTATATATGAATGATCAATATATTAAATGGTTTAACAGTATATTTGAAAATATGCAGAATAATATATTGCGTTATTACAATATATTGAATAATACATTAGGAATTGATGCTTTTCATATATTGAAAAAATGTGACAATAATATATCATTATTATATCAATAATATATTATTATAACAATAATATATCATAATGCATGTAATTTTATATTCAGTAATACACTTAGTGTTATTTAAAACACTAGTTTCCCATATATGCAAATGTATTATGTAATATATCGCATTATATTTTGCAGTATATTCCCATTTATTTTTGTTCCGTAAGGGCGCACCACCTTTTTGTAACTCACCTCTGTCATGTGGATCAAGTAGAACTGCAGATCTTCACTGTGATCTGAGGAAACACACATGCTAGGGTCATAAAATGCTTTGAGAAAGGCAACACAAATCTCAACAGAGTGAGTTTTTCAACATAACAGGTTTGGAGCTAAACTGCGGATCCCTGCCATATTCACCCATAAGGGAAGTGAGAAACCCATCTAACATGGCTGATCAAATATTTCATATTCTCTAATGCCATTATTTGAGCAGTTATCAGAGGAGACAGTTGTACAGTCCTGTACAGTAGAGACACCTGCAGGATCTTTAGCTACGCTGAGACGGTTATCCTGTCACATGTTCATCTCACTAAATTATTCAGGACATCTACGCAAACATTCATATCTCTGCTAAATCTCCTGAGCAAACACTCTAAAAAAAAATGCTGGGTTGTTTTAACCCAATTTTGGGTCAAACCCAGCCATTGGGTTACATTTTTAACCCAATGTTTGAGTTTGTCCATATTTGAGCCAAAATTGGGTTAAAACAACCCAGCAACGCTTACATGCGCTTCATGAGACACACACGCGCATTTGCACACACACGTAAGGTCTCTCGCTCTCTCCCTTTCTGCTGTACACGCGCTGCACGGTTGGGAGCTCGCGAGCTCTAGATTCCGAGAGATTTGAACTAATTTGCGGGCATCAGGAGCCGCTATCAATATGCGGGAGACTCCTGGAACTTCCGGGAGATTTGGGCTATCTGTGAACGCATACCTCTCTGTCCAATCATCTTTGAAAACTCTATTTTCTTCGTCAACTTTTCTTTTCCTGGACAATGACATCCTCCACACCCATTCAAACGCTTACGCCGGGAAGTGTCGCGTCGTGGTCGCGCCCGATTACGTCAAAAGTCACACGCTCACTGGATGTCATGGCAACTAAATCACGGAGGAAAACTTTAAATATCTCGCCTTCGTTTTAATTTTGGACCATCATAAAAAATAAACAAATGATTTTAACATGCGTTTATCAAAATAGGAAATCCAGACTTTTAATCCCTTACACACAATTAGGGCTCTTGAAATACGAAATGGAGGCGGGTCCGGATTGAATTCCCTCCGGGTCCGGATCCGGACCGGAGTCCGGACTTTGAGAAGCACTGGTTTAGAGTGTAATGGACAAAGATTTGATAATCTTTTCCATTTCATGCATGAGCCTGGCATCAGCCGCTAGGGGGAGTCTAGATTTCTAGGCTGGCATGATCCTACTGATATTGCTGAAAAGCGTATAAAATAGGGCATGTCGTGAGTTAAATGAGCTGTCTCTTTCTACTTGTTTATTTCTAAGCCTTTAAAAGGCACAGTATGCAAGTTTCACGGCTAGAGGTCGCTTATGAAAACAGTAGCAAAGGTGTAGTTTTATGACGCTGTGAATGAGGGTGGGATCATGGCAGTTGTTGTCTTCACCTCAGCTGCCGATGAAAAGCAGAAATAATCTTCATTGATGAGCTAATGTATTAAAGTTTTATTAGCGTTACTGTGGTTTGAAGCCGGGCACAGACTAGGACATTTTACAATGCCGTTTTTAAAACACTTACAGGTGAAACTCGAAAAATTAGAATATCGTGCAAAAGTTCAACTTAAAAGGTGAAACTTATATATTATATAGATTCATTACATGCAAAGTGAGATATTTCAAGCCTTTATTTGTTATAATTTGTTATGATTATGGCTTACAGCTTATGGGTAACACTTTACAATAAGGTTCATTAGTTAACTACATTAGTTAACATTAACTAAGAATGAACAATACTTCTTCAGCATTTGTTAATCTTTGTTAATGTCAATTTCAACATTTACTAATACTTTATTAAAATCTTGTTAACATTAGTTAATGCACTGTGAACTAACATGAACAAACAATGAACAGCTGGATTTGTATTAACTAACGTTAACAAAGATTAACAAAAACAGTATCAAATGTATTGCTCATGGTTAGTTCATGTTAGTTAATACATTAACTAATGTTTAATAAATGAACCTTATTGTAAAGTGTTACCAGCTTATGCAAACCCCAAATTCAAAATTAGAATATTGTGAAAATGTTTACTTAGCTGTAAGCCATAATCATCAAAATTATAACAAATAAAGGCTTGAAATATAGAGTCTATTTAGTTTCACATTTTAAGTTGAATACTGAAATAAATTAACTTTTGCACGATATTCAAATTTTTCGAGTTTCACCTGTATATGCCGCTCCTTTTGTTTTGTTATTTATGTTTATATTAAAAGTTACGTTTAACATCCAGGTTCTTCTTTCCTGAACTTTGTTACAGTTGTGTTTGATCCCTTTTCTGTCCATAAAGGTATACAACAGTTGCTCACCTGTCTAATAAAACACATAGGGCCGGATTTACTAAAGAGGGCCGATTAGCGTGAGAGCGCAAAAACAAAAAAACGGAAAGTTTTGCGCGTGATCTACTGTCCCTGACACGCAAATTAAAGAACACAGACACAGCCGGATCATTTCCATAATGACCAACACAATCTACCAAGAACAGTGTGAATTAGGGTCTGGTTTAAGACATGCTTTTTGGGGGGTGTTAAATAATGGCACAAACCTTAGTAAATCACCTTGCATGATTTATTTAAATTCTCTCGTCCAATACATTTTGCGTCTGAAAGGGAAACTCCTACAAATGCATATGCAATAAGGTCAGCCGCAAAAATAACTGTCCACGACTTTTCAGCGCAAATTTTTCACTGTCTTTAGTAAATCCTGACAGTAGTTTTTAAAGCCAAAAGAGGGTTTTATTTCGCTCGCATTGAGTTAAAAGCATCTCTATAAGCTGTTAAAGTTAAAGTAAATGGAAGACCGGTTACACTCACAGGGCCCTATTTTAACGATCTGAAACGCAAGTGTCAAAGCGCAAAGCGCAAGTAACTTTGTGGGCGGATCCCGGCGCTGTTGCTATTTTCCCGGCGGGATAAATGCCTCTTGCGCCTGGCGCAAATCTAAAAGGGGTTGGTCTGAAGTAGCTTCATTATTCATAGGTGTGGTTTGGGCGTAACGTGAAATAAACCAATCAGAGCGTCATCTCACATTCCCTTTAAGAGCAGGCGCGCTTGTTCTAAAGCGGATTCCTATTATAACGGCGGATTTGCCAGGCGCGCGCCAGGAGCGGTTCACAGCCGAGGAGAGCAACGTTCTCGTCAGGGCCGTAAAACACAGAGAAGTGACATTGGGGATGGAGAAACCCACCCAAATTAACTTCTGTTAAACAGGCGTATGATAATTTGGGTAAATGTGTAAGCTACATGTTGCTTTTATAATAAATTGTCTATCTATCTATCTATCTATCTATCTATCTATCTATCTATCGTAATAATGTATGATTTGCAAAAATGAAAACTGCTGCTTAGATGAGAGAATCAACGTGTATGCGCGTTGTGCACACGCTGGCTACATTGATTATGGCCAAGCATGCGCCCTTAAAATAGCATTATGAACAACGCGCAACGCGCCACTGACTTTAGACTAGTTTTTTTCTGGTCAGTGGCGCAATTGTTTTATAGAACAGCAAAATAGCATGAGGGAAAGTTTGCGCCGGAACACGCCTCCTCTTTGCGCTGAACCGCCCCGGGGAGCGCAAGTGTATTTCTTAGTTAACCGACGTGCGTCTGTGGAGGGAAAAGCCCGCTTTGCGCGGGTGCAAAATAGGAATGATACATGCGTCAGTGTACAAAGTCATTTGCGCCGAGTGCAAGATAGGGCCCACAATGTGGATGAATCGCGTTTGTGTCGAAGACTCGTGATCTATTGAAGAGAACTTGTGCGACACAGAAACTCTTACAAAGCAAAAACACAGAATTTGGTGTGTGAATGTGTAAGTATTGTCACTCACCATCCCGCAGCTGCAGCTGTCTGAGGTACAGTGGGTTTTGCAGGACATTACATCGTCCCGGTTCATCCTCTCTGGTCACCAACATCAGATCGGAGTATATAAAGATTGTTACCTAAAAAGAGAGGGCGAGAGTGAGAGAGTTCAACAGAAATGGATCAAATGCAGATGTTTCAAATGAACAGTTGGAGTCCGATACATGCGGCCAGTGCTTGAACTGGAAAGTAAGAAAATAACGGCGTTATTGAAACATGATTCAAGTGTGCAAGAATAAATCAGGTCGGCCCGTCACAGCCCGTCTTTATTTAGCCCAAAAATAGTTGGGTCTGATTTGGTCCACATTTATCCCATGGATGGCTATATTTTTACCAATCCAGGATCATTAGAAAAAAAACGTGCCTGTGGCGACTTTTCACAATGACATTACACGTTTCGAGACCAATGTCCAGTGAGAGGCACTAAAAGAGTGTTCAGTTTTCTCTGAAACACATAAATGTGAATCTGGAAACGTTTTATTATGTTGGTTGTTGTACATATGACAGCAGTTCTGAATTGAAATGTCCAGGGAGTGTCGCTAAAATGTTAATGCTTATTTGAAATAACGTACAGCTACACTAAACCCTAAACCTACCCAAAGAGACTGGAACCAATATTGAAGAAGCAACTTTTTGTTTTGTGTGTGTAGACTACAAATTCAGTAAGAAACTTAAGTGAATTACAGTTAATCACTTAAACAACACTACCACATTTAAATACAAGTTACATTGCATTTTCATTATCAATTTACCTATTGTTTTAACATGACTTTTTCATAAATTTTCAGAAACTTTATTCACAAATTTTAGTTTTTAGTGCCCTTGTATATTTTTAATTGTACTCTAATGTTAATCTTGGTACTATAAGTGCTGAATATGCATTGTTTTAAATGCAATGTCCCACAAATAAAGCTTTATTGACTGCATGAGAGAGACCCAGCACTAAATCTCAAAATCTCCCAGACTAAAGGCCCGTTCACACCAAGCATAAAGATAACGATAAAGATATAATTCTAAAAATCGTTCTCCATATTAAAGAATAGCAGAGTTCACACCACAACTGTAACGATAAAGATATGAGGAACGATATCGTTGGGATCACTTTCAGAACGATTTTTTTCCAGCAGTCGAACGATAAAACACTGACAGCCAATCAGAATCCATTCTAATTTAAAGGTCTCGCGCATTTAAAATGGCAGAGAAGTTAATCGTCGAGGTACAAAAAAATCCTCCACTGTTTGACAAGTCGAACCCCCTTTTCAAGGATACGTTAAAAAAGATGGATATATGGAAAGCAATCGGTCGTATCCTGGGAATAAATGGTGAGAAGGATTAACGATGAGATATTATGCAGTTTAGCATAGTGTAACAAAATTACCTCAGTTGGCTATCCAGCGCTAGTTTTGACAACATTGCTGAAGTTGCAGTGAAAAAGGCATTGTATAGCTACATAAAGGTGTTGACTAGGCGATGTTTTTATCCCATCATTGACTTCGTCAGCTAAATTCACTGTTAGATTAGATCGATTACATTAGACTTGCTAGATTCACTGTTTAGATGCGCTCGGAACATAGCATAAAATTTGTCTTCAAAAGATGACAACTCTCTAATCAGAGTGACGGATTCTCCCAACTCCTCTCGTCTTTTAAGGATATCGTGTACCCAAAAACGCCTGTTTTTCTTTTGATATTTTTGTGTAACGTAAAGCAGCAGGTCATCCATTTTCGCTACTTTGAAACCGCAGCGCGGGCGCGCGCGTGCTTAGAATAAAAAGACCGTTATCGGTCGTTGGTGTGGACACATATATAGTTATCTTTATAGTTATCGTGCTTGGTGTGAACGGGCCTTAAGGGCCTGTCCCAATACCTCCCCTTCCCCTAGATTTTTGCCCTAACCCTCGTTTTTGCGCGTTCTCGTGTAGGGGTGTCCCAAAACTTTAGGGAGCAAGGGGGAGTGCTATTCTTCCCTTAAAATCAACCCTCAAAACATAGTGAAGTCCGATGAAGGCTTAAAACGAAGTGGGAGATGAAATTACCCAGGATACCTTGCGAACTCAGTGAGCCGGCCATATTTTTCAAACAAGATGGCAGACACCACTGGAAAGGAACAATTGAATTAAGTAGATTTTCGCAAATAAGCATGTTAAAATTTCGAAATATGTTGGAATATGTTAGTTTGATGCACATTCAATGGACTGTTGAGTTTTGAACACTAATGTTTCAAAATATTTCACGAAGCTATCTGACGATGTTCATGATATCTGTCGAGTGCTTCGAGAGAGTCTGCCCATCAAATATACATCTGATCTGGGTAGTTAATCTAATTTTATTTTCGATTTCGATTTTGGCTTCCAAGGATTATAAAAAGATGATAAATCAGGTAAAACTGTTAAAAACTAGCCACGTTCGTCTAGCGCATCATCTTTCCCTTCACAGCGCGCTGTCATCTCAAAAGAGCTATTAAAAGCACAATGATCCGCGTAAGAGACGTTGCCCCTGTTCCCATAGCGGCGCGCACTCGGAAACGGACTGCAACTAGACAAGCAAACCATACTTTGGGTTTCGTGTGCGTCTAAACGATCAAATACACACACAAATATGGCAAAATGACTGAATGAAAATAGTAGTAGGCTACTACTGGTAGACACCTCGACACTGCGCGTGACGTAGGTGAGTATGTTTGCTACGCTAATTTGCATATAGTGGTGTCCCATTTCATAGGGAAAGATCTTCACCCCCACTTCCCTCGTTGAGGGGACTTTACTGGCGAGGGCACTCAAAACCAAGTGGAAGTTTTAAGGGGGGAGAAATGGGACAGGGCCTAAATCCCTCTGTAACGGTCACCAGCCACCAGAGTAATGGCCCTTGAGAGCCACCAGAGCAGTGACGTGCGGTCTGGGTAGGCAAACTAGGCACTGCCTACCCTGCCAAAATTCAAAAATAAAAATGTTTATTAAATAATAAACTTGTATTTGTATTTTTACTGTTTATTCTTGTGATTTATATATGCAATATGGGTGTTATTCCAATTGTTTAGACGTTACGATGACAAATGTAGCAGTTATGCGTAATCAAATAAAAAACAAATGGTAGAATAAGCAGTGCTTTTACGGTCCATTCATTGCAGACGACAAGCGAAAAACCCATGTTGCGCACTTCGATCCTGTATTCTTTAACATGTATGGCAAAAAGCACAACTCTGCTGTGCCTTTGGACGTAAATATGCTTATGCCCGTAACCATCTACGTTACATATCAGACATGGACCAATTAAAATCGAGATATTACTGGACACATTTGCGTAGCTAACGTCATTACACCACAGCTAGCCTATGCCTTATCCCCACCAAATTCAAAGTCAAAATGACAGCACCGGCCGTGATCACAGAGTTAAGACATTTTTTCAAGCTCGATTTTAATTCAAAATCTGAGTTAATAGCAAGAGGGAGGTCTACGCCAGCCTTAGATGGACTAGTGCAGCAACTGAAGGCCGTAAAGACGAGTTTTACAAAGTTGTGATCAACGTTTTTACGAGCAAAGAGCGGCGGATGGATTTTATGTACAAATAATCTACCGATTGGTGAGTCAAAAACTATTTTAGGCTTAATATTGAATTGATAAATGTGGTTGAACTAATGCAAGCCATTTGCCTTCATATTCAATTGAGCAGTGTGTGATTTCACTTTTGCTGACAGACATAATTGGCCGCTGTGCAAAAATGAAGGATTAAGAATGGTTGTATTCTGATGCTGGAGTGGACACTTAACTGTCGACTCCCGTTTGCCTGTGCCGCGCTTGTGTGTGTATGTGTGTGTGGTGTGTGTGCAAGAGAGAGAGAGACTGTAAGAGTACACGATATACATCCTGATTTGTACATTTCTTGTTATGCTGCGTTTGTGCGTAACGTTTACTGTTATTACGTATTATTAGCCTAAACAATAAATCAGGTATAATATGGCTTTCATAACTCAGTGCCTAGCCTCTTTAAGACATCACCGCACGTCACTGCACCAGAGTAATGGCCCTTGAGAGCCACCAGAGTTATGGCCCTTGAGAGCCACCAGAGGGCACTCCACATAACTCACTGCCCGGACTCTTCATCCATCATCACATTCACCTGTGTCTCATTATCTTGTTTAGCTCACCCCATATAAGCCTGGTTTTCTCATTCAGTATCTACAAAGTCTTGTTTAGTGTTACACTGCAGTTCCGAGCGTTCTCCCTGGTTTCATGTCTCTTGGTTTGGGATTTCTTGCCTGTTCCGTGCTCTTTTGCCCGTGTTCCCTGCTTTGTTGTGTTAGTTTGTATGGACTGCCTGCCTGTGTTTGACCTTGCCTGTACTTTGGATTTAGCCTGGCTCCAGCCTCCTCCTACTTCTGCTCAATTTAAATTTTCCTTCAGTACCGCGTCTGGGATTGTGGTGTATTCTTTGGTTTTCTCGGGTACATTTTTTTACCGGTCCAATCAGCGAACAGAGGGAGTGGCTGAGAACGATGACGTTGATGTCGTGCGCTAGTTTGTCATACGCATAGACAGTAAAAGAAATGGACACAGCGACCCCAAAGACTTCAACGGAGAAAAGTGAAGTCAACCAGAAGCACTCTCTTCCTGATGGCTGAGCGACTGCGCGGTGGTGGACAGGTTTGAGGATGCTAAGGCTCACACTGAGCTGGACGACGGAGATGTGACGTGAGAAACCTGTAATTCTTCTAGTAGCTGTGCCGAGAGGAATCTGAATCATTCCCTTCCGAATCTCGCAGAGACGGAGAGCGTGAGTATTAGCTGTCCATGAACAGCAGGAGCAACTTTACAACTCTCTATGGGCTTCTCCCTTGACTTTATGCCTCCACATCCCCCCGATTGACATGAGCTTCTCCTCCTGTCTATACGGTAATTTCTCTACTGCGCGACAGAGAGTCGCGTGTTATGATTCAATTATGGCTGTCAGTTAAACGCGTTATTAACGACGTTAACGCAAACCCATTTTAGCGGCGTCAATTTTTTTTATCGCGCGATTAACGGTCTTTTTGGCCTAGCAAACTTTGTAGTTCCCTTTCGAGGGAACTCGAACTGCGTCGGTGA